AGAGGAGGAGATGTGGGGAGATAAAGATAAACCAAAATTGGCCATATTTGTTGAAGCTGGGATTCATCAGGGTTCATTGTTCCTCTCTCTCTCTCTCTCTCTCTCCCTCCCTCTTCTTTTGGGTGTGTTTGAAAATGTCCACCATTGGGAATTCCCTGGCAGTACAGTGGTTAGGACTCCGTGTTTTTACTGCCGAGGGCCCAGGGGTTTGATCCCTGGTCGGGGAACTAAGATCTCACAAGTTGCGCAGTGTGGGGGAAAAAAAAAAAAAGTCCATGATCAAAAGAGAAAGAAAAGAAAAGAAAAAAGAATAGTGCCCTTCTGTCACGCCCAGTACTCTTCCCTGCTGGACACACTGAGAAGCCCCTAGTTTGCCGTCTGCCTCCCCTGGAATGGGGGTGTGGGGAGAGCCGGGGTGCTCTCTCTCGTTCACAGCTATATTCAAAACACCTGAACCGTGAATGCCTCTCATCCAGCTGGCAGCTGTGAGCCTGGGTCTGCGTGGCCCCTTGAGCCCGAGCTTTGAACAGCACAGTGATCTTAACCTTGGAGGGCCATGGGTTAGTCTCTCTGAGGCCAGCCGCTCACCCAGGAAGATGTGGGTGCCATGGTGGGCAAGTGGTTGGGTCAAGGAGAGGGAGTGGAAGGGACAGGGCAGGGTCCGGAAAGGAGAAGCCCTTCCCTCTGCCCTGTCCCCTAGGGCAGCCCGAGCTCATGTGGACATCATTGTACCTGGCACTGCTTTTGTAGCCTCCAAATACCAAGTCCAGCCTGAGCCAGGGTCAGAGGCTGCTGAGGGAGGCCAGAGCCAGCAGGCGGGACCCACCAGGGGCCCAGGAGCCTTTCAGGAGAAAGAGGCAGGTGAGGAACAGGGCTCCCTACACCCTCAAAACCCTCAGCTTGGTTCCCAGACATCGTCACCTGAGACAGGTGTGATGAGCACCCCTCCACATTGCTGTGAGCCCCTCCAGTGGGTACTGCCAGGCATAGGGCATGATCCCAGCAGGGGCCAGGCCCTGGAGGGCTCTGGAAGTTGGCAAGGCAGGGGCACTGGGCACCACTATCATGCTCCTGAACAAAGGAGGTGTGAGCGCTTGTTGTCTCGAATGAGCTTCCTGACTCCCATCTGCATCCACTCCAGCCCCAACCCCTGAACCTACCGTGGGTCCCCAGGCTCTGGAGGGAAGGTGTGTCAGGGTCTTCCTAAAGCACCAAAAGGCCACGGCATGCCGATGACAACAGCTCTGCAGTCAGACAGACCTAGGCTCAGCCAGGTTCTGCTCCTTTAGCCGCTCTGGGATGGCAGGCAAGGTACCACATGCAGCTCAAGGTGCCTCAGTTTCCTCACCTGTATCATGGGCACAAGGTTGGGTGACCCACAGTGGAGACCAGGGCAGGTGTCCTGTCTGCACCCCACAGTTCCCAGCACCGTGGCTGCCCAGGGGCCTTCATCCACAGCTGTGCAAGCTGACCCTGCAGGGTGCTTGTCCCAGCCCCTGCTTCCCTGGGCCTCCTAGATGCGGGGCCTGAGGAGACCTGAGGCTTTGCTGTTGGTGTTAGTTAGGGAGGCCAAAAAGGTGGCTCTGTTTCCTTTCTCTTCCTTTCTCGTGGTGCACTCTGTCCCTGGAGTGAGGCTATTTGCTCGAGGGAAGAAAGGGACTGGCCAGATTCGGTGATACGAAGGCACCTGGTTCCAGGAAGGTGGGAAACAGACACACTGGTGTGCTGTGGAGTCACCTTACCTGTCACACCTGCAAGCAGCAGCCTCCATCCTGCCTTGGGGAGGTCAGCTGGGTGCCCCCTTCCCAAAAGACCCTCCGTGGGGACAGACGCAGAGGCTGCAATCCCCTCAGAGATGCTCTCGCACCCCAGCCCCCAGCCTCCTCCACACCTCAGGGGTGTGCAGGACTTCACAAAGGGCCCTGAAGACAGTCTCATTCCAGCCGCTCTGCAGCCTAGCTGTGTGTGAGGAATGGGGTGTGGGGTGCGGTTGTGTGTGTGAGGAATGGGGTGGGGGGCCCCTGGAAAGGGAGAGCGGGTTGGAGGAGCCGCGGAGTCCGGACTGGAGCAGTGACAGGACTGGGCGCTGCACGGGGGCCCAGCCAGTGACCCTCCCCCTTTTCCAACCGTGCTCCCCGCTTTCCAACCACGGCCGTACACACTGCAGTTTCTCTTCAAGGAGGGAAGGGGCTGCTTCTTCCCTGGTCTCGGACTGGCTTTGCCCTCAGGGCTGTTACTGGTCTCCAAAAAGAACTCCCTGACTGGACCCCAAGGAGGGCAGTTGTGAAGGGTGGCAGGTGGCCACCTTCAGAGCACAAAGGAGTACTGGGGACTAGGGGCGGGGGTACGGCTCAGGGGTCGGGCGGCGGCATCCTCTTCCCCAGATCCTTCACCTGGTTGTGGCTGGACTCCAGCATCACACCTGGAAAACGTCACCACCATCAGCCACTCGGGTCGCTGATATTTGCAAAGGAGGCTTTCTTGGTGTCACAGGCTCTAGGACTGTGGCTCTGGCCCAGGTGGCGGACCCCAAGCAATCCTTCACCTACGTTCAGAAAATCCTTTCTGCACTCTGGGTGGAGTCACTCCCCGGGCTCCACTCTCTCCGCCTCTCCCTGGAAGCCCAGAGGTGCCCACAGGCAGCTCCCAGCCACACATGATCACAGAGTCCCTGGGTCCTGGCCGAGGCTGGGCAGATCCCTGCCACCCAGGATGTGGGGCTTAAGCCATGGAACAACCACGTCACCAGCAGTCACCATGGCAGCCACCTCGTGCAGAGGACCACACTGCAGGGACCGGCCTGCACTGCAAAAACGTCGCACAGGAATACACACCAAGAGGGCAGCAGACAAACATTTATTAAGCACCTGCTATGCACCAGACCCTATGCAGGGGGCTAGGAAAATGAAGCCAATGCAATCCAGCCCTCGCCCGGAAGGAGCTCACAGTCTAGCGGGCCAAACCTTCAATCATAATTAATAGCCGCGAAGGTGCATTTAGCTTCACAATTGCACAATGAGCTTTTATATAAGTTCTCCCAACTGTCAACACCCAGCAACACAGCCACATTGTTTTAAAAGCACATTGGCATAAATGTAAACACAGTCACACGATTGAAAGGACGGACAGCAACCACCTGTGACAATTCATAGTCTGTGTTTCAGAGCCAAACTCTCAGCATTACTTATTTCTTCCTATTAGGAAGGATACAAGTTTTGCCAATTTGCAGAAATGGTGATAGAGATACAGGGTAGTTCTATGGCCCCTTGCCATCACGCGCTGGTGCAGCCGCCCTCGACACGAGGGGTCCTGAATCCTTGCCCTCTCTCCCCCCACCACACCACAAATCTTCTGGTCTCCCCTGGAAGAGGGCCCCAGATGTCCCTGGGCTCTTTCTCCCGAGCTCGTCAGATGGGGAGAAAGGACCACTTCCCATGAGTCAACCACGCTGAGATCACTCACCTGGTTGAGCCCACGGGTGACACCAGCTCAGACAGGCACACAGCACAGCGCGCTCAAGCCCACACCCTTCCTTATTTAGGGACCAGCTCTCTGGTCAGTCTCAAAACCTGATGGGGTTGGTGTCACACAGGAACTGCCCTGAGTCCTGCCTCTGCCCCGCCTCTCCCCGGCTGCACGGGATCCATCAGCAGTCCAGGTGCAGAGGGTGGTGGATGGCCCTATTTATCCCACTTACCCCCGGATTCTGAACGGGACAGTGAAGTTTGGGATCTGAGAACCCTCTGTGCCTCTCTTGAGAGCCCCCTTCACCAAAGAGGAAAAACACAACCCTACAGATTCGGCTGGTGAAGGTTAATTTAGGAGGATAAGGGGTTAGGAATATGGTGAAGAGATCCAAGTGGACCCACCTCCGGGTCCGGGGAACGGGAAAACCAGCCAAAGGCTTGGGGTAATTAAGCCGAGGAGAGGGCGGGCAGACCATGAGGCTGAGTGTTCAGCGCTGAAAGGTTGGGGGCGTTCAGGACCCCACCGCCTGCCTTCCTTTCCTGGGGCAGGGGGAGGGGAGGCTTCTCTTCCCCTGCACGCTGGGCACAGCCAGGGCGCTTTGTAAAGGTCATGTTAAGTCTCCGCTCCTCCCCTGGGCCCCCCAATGTGGCCTGTCTTGGACAGACAGAGGCTTACCAAGTGAGTCAGAAGGTACACGTTAAAGGTGTTTCTGACCCCATGTGGAGGGCACGGGTAAGGGGAGGGGGCGAGGTGCCCTGCTAACTGACTCAGCCTCGGTCTGCTGGCCCAACAAAGCCTGCCCTGACCCCGTTCCAGCCTCTGGGGCAGCGGCTTTCTGGCTCACACCCAGGACCACCTCTTAGCCCTCCTCCAGGTCGCTCCAGGAGGCCGGATATCCTGCTAGCAAACCCCTTCCCCCAATGACGGCCCAGACGGAACTCTCTTAATAAAAAAAAATAATTTATTGTCAACAAAGGAGATATATACAACAGGGAAAGGGGCGCAGAGGAGAGTGTGCGTGAAGCCCCAGGTAGAGGCTACTTCAGCCACCTGCAGGGAGGGAGCAGGAAGAAGAGGTAATGGAGGCCTCCTGGTGTAGGAGCCGAAACGGGTGGGGGAGGAGAGGCGTCCCCCGAGGTAGTGGGACTCAGTTCAACACCGTCACGACCACCTCTTGTGTAAGGCACTGTGCCAAGGGAGAATGGTGGCGGGCTGAGAAGGTGGGAGGAGGTCAGAGGGACAGAGAGGTCTGGGTCAGCAAAAGGATCGGGTGGGTGTTCTCCACAGGCCCAATGCCCTACCGCACAACAGCCCTCGGCACCCCCGTCCCCCTCAGGGCCTGGCCTCACGCCTCACTCGGGGAGACATTTTCCAGCTTCCCCGAGTCATAGCGGATGCTGCCCACCTTCCTCTCCTCCGTCCTGCCTTGGCACCTGGTTTTGCTCTCTCCATCAGATGGCCGAGCTGGGCAGCTCTGAGTGATAAGCCGAAGGGGGACAATGCCTCCTCTCCCCGCCCTGAAAAGCAAGAACCTACAGGCCACTCCCTGCCTCTGGCTGCCCCCCGACAGTGGTGCTGGATTCCGACAGAACCGCGGGCCAGTCTGGGCTGTCACCTGCTCCCACACCCTTGGTGCCCTGGGGATGCTTGGACCAGTCTTGCAGGAGGCTGACTGCCGGGGGCTCCTCCAGCCGCACGCGGATAACCTGGAGATCCAGCGTCCCGCGAAGCCCCGGAGGGGGAGCTGGGCAAGGATGGGAGCAGAGAGAGAGTCAGGGGCCCTCCAGACAACGCACCCTGAGGATGTCCCCCGAGGGTCTCTGTAAACCACACCCCCATTTCCTGGCCTTCAATTCCATAGCCCAGGACCTGTGGTCTGAGGAGAAGCCTGGGGACAGTGGGAGGCTGTGCTCCTAGATCATCCAAGGACCAGCACCAACCGTAAGGGCATCGCGCCTCCGCAGGCATCAGCACAGGCCCTCCGCAGCCTTCCTCCCTCACGTATTCTGGCATACGGACGCTTAGTGCTGTACTCCGCTCCCCTCAACTACCTTCAGTTGACTCCGTTTCATCTAGAACGTGCTGGGCACCCTAGCCTGATGGGTTCTGCCTTGTGTGGGCAGAGGTGGTGGGGTGGGGAACACCCCAAAGCAGAAAAAGACATGACTCTGCCCACAAAGGAGGTCCCAGGTGAATATGCAGGGCGGAGGAGAGAGCACTGGACGGAGAGTCCTAGGTTAACATCCAGCTCTGCTCCTCTGGAACCTCAACCAGGCTCTTCATCTCCCGAGTCAGTACCTACCACGCAGGGGCCAGATGTCCACCTTAGCAGCGTAGAGAAGCTACTCACAATGGACAAAACCAGGCCTTAAGACAGGAACATGAACTGCTGACAGCCACTGTTCATGTACCAAAATGTCCGGTTCAGC